CTACGGAAGTTGCTGCTGCATACAGGTGAATGGAAAACGTCGTCAAGTTAGGAAAAAAACGTGCCGGTAGGGAACTTTCATGGTATGTTAAATTACTGTTTTAGCTACTTTACGTAATGTTTTTGGCACGTATGTCTAATTATTAGCATATTAAACACTATTTTAAGGGTTTATTAAAGTTTTTGTATAGAAATCTTAGATAATTAAGTGGACTAATACTAGCATAACAATATTGCAAGATTTTGGTTTTCGTCCACGTGGACGGAAACCCTGACACCTAGTTTATTTTTAAATATCATTTTACTTCAATGGACCTACAAAATACAATGTTTTTTCTTCCAATATGATCTTTATTGCTATTACATTAAACATTTTAGTTTAAGTCCAGTTTTTAACAGTGATAAACCCATAAAAACCTTTAAAAAGATGTGGACGAAAACAAAAAACAACTTTAAACGTTGTTGTGTTTTCGTCCATGACGTCATGAGCAAGCACTGGGGTGGACGAAAACCAAAATTAGCTATTCCTGTAGATTAGTTTTCGTCCATTTGTCCTTCGTACTATTGTAATATTTTCCTAAATTTAGGTAAGAAACTTATTTATTTCTTTTTGATATCATTTGAAAACTAACAAAATTACCTTTCAAATGATATACCACAATCCATAGTTACTGTATTGTAGAATTGGTTTTAAGTTAATAATTCAACTGCACCCTTTTTTCTACACAGTGGTCGAAAACTAGCGTACACTAGGACGAAAACTGATTTTTTTGGACGAAAACTAGTGAAATCGCCTCTTTTGCATAAAATATTTTTTTATAAAAAAACCCGTGGTATTTAGCTACTTATTGTCATATAATATTAAAAGTAAAGTAGACTATATAAGGACTAAAATGACATATGACACATATGAGTAAGGGTGTTTTAAGATATTCATTTCGCATCACAAAGTTGGCAAGTCCGATAATTGGACGAAAACTAGCGCTCTTACCCTACTAAGAGTAGGCGCACACCGTTGATTTTTAGTTGGCCGATAGTTCTTCTTCTTCTTCTTTTTTGATGATGTTGGCAATACACGTCGAGGTCGACTTGATTTGTGCCATTTTCAAGTATTTATGTGATACGAGTTACAAAATGAGATCAAGGTAATGATATAATGAAGGATGATAGATGATACCTCTTCCCACCCTTTGAGTCTCAGTAAAGTTGTGGTGCTTTACGCCATAATGTTTCCGACAAAGGTTGTCAAATTGACTGACATGTTTATCGTATAGTAGGTACTTACAGTCCATTATGAAAGTTATAGATGACCCACGCTGAACTGTCCCGCCAAACTCAATGACAGGAGGGCGCTACCATCGTTCAACTTTATGGTTTCCAACATGGCAAAAATCGGAACCAGCGATTCGGTATTGACGGTGGCGCCCCGCTGTCAATGTCATCGATAGGACAGTTCAGTATTTTGGAACTATAGCTGTGGTTTGTTTCAACTACCTATTTTAAAGGTTTTTGTCACTTTGTAAGTGTTGAATTTTATAGAATTGGGAAAGAAGTACCGAGTTTGAAGCGTTCATGAGCAGATATTGTAGTTCTGAATTTGATTATCGATGAATAATAAAATAAATCCTACAAGCTTGATTGATGGTTTCATTTAATTTATTTAAACCAGGTTACCTATAATATAATCCTTTTTCGTTAATTTAGGAAATTTTAAATAAGCCCGTAGTTAATCCTGCCGTTTATAATAGCCCGTTTTTTTTCGCCAAGTCGGGACTTTGGTACTTTTTGAGTGAAAATAGCGGGAATCTTCCGTCAGAAGCGGGACATAGTAAAAAAACGTATATAATCAAAGGTCTTCAAATATGTATCTTTTTATTTGACAAAATTACGTTTACGTGACAATAGATAGCAAAAGCCATAGAAAATGTATTTTTAACAAAAAAATATATTTTAAATCAGATTTACCCTATCGTTAAATTCGTCTTTAGAATAAAAAAAGAAAAAAAAAATTAAAAAAGTTTTGTTTTTTAAAATAATAAGATAAGATAAGATAATATAATCATTTATTGTCTTTTCTGTGTTTAAGGCGTTTCAAACAATAGTCTGGTGAAGTGAGTGTCTCTCTCCGAAAAGCGGGACCGAGTCAGTCCCGCGCGGGACATTTAAAGAAGAACGGTCATCTGTGACCCAGGCCCGACAGAAACGAGACATACCTCAGTTTTTTTGTCATGTCTTAATTAGTTAAATTATATATTTTTTATATTCGAAATCTATGTATAACACCAAAATATTACCCTTTGTTTTTGTTCAGGCGTTATACAAAAACTAATACAAAATGCCTATTTATTACCAAAATTGGTAACTGTATGTACCTAAATGTCTATTACAGCTGCTATGGAATGTATCTAGGTGACCTGGAGATACAGCCGGATTATACAGGGTGGAAACGATAAGTGATCTCACTCGATTATTTCTAAACTATGCAAGATATCGAAAAACTAGTTACTGATTCTGAAAGTGCTTCACGAGCTCTTTCAAATAGTACCAAATAATAGGTTACAGATTATGGAAGCTGGTAACATAAAATTTTTGGATTTTGTAACTTCTCGTTTCCACCCTGTATAATCCGGCTGTATCTCCAGGTCACCTAGATACATTCCATAGCAGCTGTAATAGACATTTAGGGACATACAGTTACCAATTTTGGTGATAAATAGGCATTTTGTATTAGTTTTTGTATAACGCCTGACCAAAAACAAAGGGTAATATTTTGGTGTTATACATAGATTTCGAATATAAAAAATATATAATTTAACTAATTAAGACATGACAAAAAAACTGAGGTATGTCTCGTTTCTGTCGGGTCTGGGTTTTTTTTGTATGGGGCGTGACCGTTCTTCTTTGATTTAAAAATCGGAACGTCCCGCCAAAATCAGGACGTCTGGCAACGCTGCTGAAGACACATGCGTTGATGCGTGTCATCTAATCGTATGGCGTTGGGCACTGAACAGTGTCACGTCGTTTTTGCAGTTAGTGAAATTGGCCACCGCAACGAGTCGATTAAGTTTTAAACGTTTTCACTGAGGATTTCACAATAAAACACAAATTATAGCCTGACCAGGAACATAAAAACCCTCGCCATGTTGCGGAAAATTAATGGTACTAATTTATTTTAATGGCAACAGTAACTGAAAACTTCATTGACATGTCACCTTGCATGTCAGTCTATTGCTGTCAAAGTGTAAACAAACTTTATTTTAAATGTGCGCAATTGATTTTGTGAATTAAATTGCTAAAATATTTTTATAGTCGTGAAAGAAAAGTGGTTCACAATGTGTTAAAGTATTTGTCGAAGAGAAATACTAAGGGTTCGGACAATATTTTCGTTGAATAATGTTTCCGACAAAGGTTGTCAAATTGACTGACATGTTTATCGTATAGTACAGTCCACTATGAAAATTAGCTGTGGTTTGTTTCAACTACCTATTTTAAAGTTTTTTGTCACTTTGTAAGTGTTGAATTTTATGGAATTGGGAAAGAAGTACCGAGTTTGAAGCGTTCATGAGCAGACATTGTAGTTGAATATTCAAGTTCAGAATTTGATTATTGATGAATAATAATAAAATCCTACTTGCTCGATTGATGGTTTCATTTAATTTATTTAAACCAGTTTACCTATAATATAATATTTTTTTGTTAATTTATGAAAATATTAAATTAGCCCATAATCCTGAATCCTGATACATAAAGTTAGCCTATTAATTTAATACAGGTACGACTGTACCCAGTGTTGCACTATCAAATGCAATTGACGCGCCTCTATGCCAGGGTTTTTATGTTCCTGGAGGTTCCTGGTCAGAGCCCCGATTACGGTAATTTTTAACGTCAACAATCCAGACACGCTTCTCGATTCTGCGATACGATTGGTCGTTCAATAGCGTACGTCAGCTGTTTTGACCAATCGTATCGCAGAATCAGAAACGCGTCTGGATTGTAGACGTTATAAAAGTTACCGTAATCGGGGCTCAGGCTTGCTTGGCAAAAATGTTATTATACAAGCTGCGATTATCACTGACAATTTAAAAACTTAAAATGTCAAAATACGATACGTCATCCATCTGTCGTAGTGATGTGCCACTGCCAACTCGGAAATAACAATACTTGATTTATCCCGAGTAAAATCCACATAACTCTGTTTGAGCTTGAGTTAACTGGATGGAAACGTGAATGCTTTTTTTTTATTTTTACCCGTTTATTCCCTCAGCTTCGCATCAATAGTTAAAAAAATTGACCTGATTTTTCCACTATCTGAAATAGCTGCAAATCTTTTACTAGGTATCAAATTATTTAAAGCGTTATCACCAGATTTTGCGTAATTTTTTTGCACAATAAGACGGGCTTGAGAGTGCCTTCTTAACCTTTTGTGAGGAGGCTCAACATCCAATGTGGTTGTCGATAACAGTGACAGTGACTGTGATGAATCGTTCGAAGTAATTAAGTACTCGTATAAAGGTACAATTTCATAGAGTTTTGCAGTCGCCGTCTTGGAATAAGTACCTTTACTCTCATTTGTTAATGTGGTCGTATTTCCACTATATTTGAATGAATCTGAACACTGTTTACACGCTACACTAGTTTGGGATGTATTCGAATCGCCAGTGAGTGGACACTGGCGATTCGAATACATCCCAAACTAAAGATTTTCTTTTAGGATCCGGCATTTTTTAAAAACGAAATATAATACACGAAAATATACAATAATAATTGGCAGTTTCTATTTTTATTTCAAGTCTACTTAAATGTGACACTTGTTTGTTATGAATTATTGAATGAACGAACATGGTCTCACATAATTGATCGGCAAACTTCGCTTTATGTCGGTTCCATTCGGTTTACGAACTCAACTTGAGTCAGAGAGAATTCTACTCGAGCGGATTTGAGTTACGCCCAACTCGAGTTAGTTACTCGGGTGAGTTGACCATCACTAGTCTGTCGGTCGGGTCGTTGTTGCTTGTTTGTTTCCCGTTGAAACATTTTTATTTTTATTTCAGTTTACAGTGATTTTTTTCATTTCTTTAGTGCAGTGAAGTGATGTTATAAATGTGATAAAAGTGTGTGTTGTGTACGCCATTCATAAATTGGTAGACTTAATTTGATAAATAAGGTCAAACATTAAGTTTAGTGCGTAGTGAGTCACACAGGCTTCCTATAGTTTGTGTAGTGATAAAGCTAAACAATGTTATCATAAAAATAATTGTTTATGTGACTGAGTTTAAACTAATTTCTAATGGCTACGCCACCAGTTCCAAAGCCAAGGAGCGCGTTCCTTGCGCAGAATGATCCGGATAAACGACCAGTGCCACTCCCGCGCACCAAAGTACCTACCAACAATGATAGAGTATCGGCCACTGACATTTTGCGCTCAATAGGCTCAGTGTCTAAGCAAATCACTGAAGATGTCGCGCAAAAAGTCTCCAATTCCGCTAAAAGTGCCAACGAAAAGCTGGAAAAGTCAATTTTAGACGGCTCGAAATTCGCCAAAGGTACTCTGGAAAAGACGCTAACAACGTCCAAAGCACTCCGCGACTCAGTCACAAAGTCAGTCATTGAAAGCACAAGATCTGCAGGTGTCATGCTAAGGAAGCAGAAAAAAACTGACAACATAGATGAAAATCCACAAAGATGTGTGTCAATGCCTGTTGTTGATGTTAGTCTTTTTGATAACATCCAATTCCACTCGCCCCTACTAGAACAAAAGAGATTCCACAATGATGTCACACAAAATAATGATGTACCGTCTTTACATTTGAATGCATCACACATGGATGACTTGTCCCTGTTCTCAAACAACTCTGACAACACAGACACCGTAAGTGACTTCTCATATGATAGCAGAGAGTCTGAAGCAAACTCAAGTTTGAATTTAAGTGAGCAAACAACTTATGATACTCCTCGGCCGTCCAGGGCAAACAGTATAATAAGTACAATGTCGACACCAGAAGTGCCAGAACGAAGAAAGAAGAGAGAAAGCACTATGGACATCATGAGACAAAATTCCCTCTATGAAAACTGGACTTTGCCAAATCCTACTATAGCTAGTCCTAAATCTGCATCTACCACACCAATAGACATTGCTAGACCCAGCAAGAGTACAATATATGAGTTTGATCCTTTAAACACCAGTAGTACTGCACACAGATATGCAGGAGTGAGTAATGAGCTTATATTACTTGAATCCTTCTTAATTGGTGACACTTACGGCTCAATTATAACCACTGACCACAGTGACGATGCATATGATTACCGAGACAGTGAATACTTCAATCCCCCAACGCCTCCTGAGCGATCTGATAGCCTGATGACTACTGAAACAAAAGCTACGGCATCTACTCCTAGGGACAACAATTCCAACTGGTTTGACAATGAATCTGACACTACATCAACAATAGATGAAGTTAAGACATCAAATTCAATGATGCAAAAGTTTTCTCATATGCTGAAGCTGGATAATGTTTTGCACAAGTCTACAAAGCAAGTAGCTCAGAAAGTAGAAGTTGTTCAGAGACCACCGCTGAATTTAATGCCTGCTCCATACTACTATGGCATGCTGACAAGGATAGTCTCAGCTATGGGAGAGGATTTGTTCAAGAACTCCCAAACCCGGTACTGTGTGCTGTCTGATCAGAAGTTGATCTGCTACTCTGATGCTACTAATGCCATTTTGAAAGAAGCCTACACATTGGACAGTGTGTATTCTTTGCAAGTAGTGCTGCCACTTTCAACTAGGTAAGATTATTTTGTTATTATATTCAGATAGTGTAATGCTTTATTTGTATTATGAAGATTCATATAGAGATAATATTATTTGGGTTTCCTTTATTATTAAAATTTGAGTTACCTACAAAAACTAATTAGGTGGTAGGTTTGATATTGTTGATTTTACTCCTATAAGCGTATTTGATTGGCACAACTGAATTCTTAATTTATTACCAAATAAAAATTTACATTATTGTGTTTAATGAGGATCATTTCGATTTTAAGCTGTGAATGCAGATTTATAGGGCTAAGAAATCCTTAATACACAGTCCAAAAATTTTTGTTCTACGACAAAAATTGACGAAGTTATGGCCAAATTACTAAAAAAGTTCACTGACCGCCCGCACAGTGGTCCTGATTTAATAAAACATGGACATTGATGCTAGAGGCACGAAATTTTTTTTGATGGTTACTGCTATGATAACTAATAAGGCAAAAAAATATTACAATCCTACGAATGTTTTTTACCGAGTTAACACAACGCATAGACAACGTTAACACCGAGGAAGACGCTCCAGTTGATGAGACTGCGGAAGTAGATGTGCAACCATCGACTTCTGGTATAAATAAAAAACCTTTTGAAATTTATGCAAAATTCTTCTTCTGCAGAAGAAGAGGCGCTCTCTAACACTTTTAGATCATTCTGAGGAGGAATTAGTTTACGCTTTATGTGCTAAACTGAAAGAGTCTAACAAAACCAAATTAGCGACTACCTATATTCAAAGAACTGTTCCAAAACGAAGAACGTGTGAAATAGTAGACAATCTTTTAACTTAAAACTGTGTCTACCTGAAGATAAACGTTAGCGCTAGTTACATCATGTAATTTGTCAAAATGGCAATATCGCAATTTGATATTCATTCTCGCTTCAGAGAGTATTTATGGGCTTCCATTCTATCAAGAGCTTCTGGAAACAAAAAAAACTTGTTATCCTTCAGAGAGAGACGATATTTGTGCGAGTTATCAATGATGGACATATTGTAAATTGGGCAACCTCTCGTATAAGCTACTTTTTGACGGCCAGCGGACCTGTACATGCAACGTTGTATTAAGTATTTCCCTTAATTTTTTATTTTATTTTATTAAAAACTGATGCATAAGAGCGCGCGCCAGTGCGAGTCGTTGTTATGTCGTTGAAAACTTTATCCCATAGATCAGGGTGGCCAAACTTTTGACCTGTGAGGTCTACTTATGCTCGAAAATATTTCTTGCGGTCTACTGCAAGGTAGTTTAGAAGAGTGAAATAAAACATTTTAGCAGCAACAGTACTACCACGTTACGACCGACCGAAGCGTGTGAGTACCTATTTACAGGAAGATAGATACCTAGTCAGTTTTCTTGGCCCGAATAGTACATTTTATAATAAGTTTAACTCTCGCGGGCTACCAAAATCGTCTTCGCGGTCGACTGGTAGACCGCGGTGGACCTCTTGGCCATCACTGCCATAGATCATAGAGTTTATCACTCATATTTCTTTTCAGTTCCACCAGCAACTCGTACTGCTTCGAGTTGATGGTGTCGACAGCGCGTAGCTCGCCGCGCAAGGTGCTCTTCAGTTGCGCAAGCGCCTCCGACCGCAGGAACTGGGCGCAGAAAATCGTGGAACACTTGGTGGCCGGCTTTCCCACCAAATACACAGCGGAGTACACACGATGCGGATGGTGCTATCTCAAGGTCAGTGTTAATGGCCCTCTGTTATCTGTATCACAGTTTTAGTTTGTAATTTCCTTGCGAATCACATATTAATGTGAGTAAAAAATGTCCTTCGTTTGAATCAAAAGACAGTCACACTATTTATCACTACGAGAAGTTTGTTAATCCCCAAATTGTTAAGCTGTTCTGTCAGTTAATTATTACACCATAATTGATTAGAAGATTCAATTTGTAGATTTTAGTAATGCAAGAGTTGCGGCGGTTTCAACGAGAAGTAGGATTAATGAGTTTAATCACTTAAAAAATATTTTTTAAAATGAAGTGTATAACACTTCAAATAAAAGTCCACTGTATGAGTCACATTGATACGATCAGACTGCATTAAGTGTTAATTTTCATCACACTAGTTCTCTATAATAGGCGACCGTAAATTGCCGTAAGATTTTAGAAATATGGCGGATTTTAATACCCCCTTATCTGTCTCCCGCTTTGCTACTGAAGGAAGTCAACTTTAAACTGTACGGTATAACTGCGTAAGCGCAGTCATACATGCGTCACGTGAACATACCGCTTCGTACAGCTAAAGTATAGAAAAACATGAGTCAGCTGTCAGTTTGTTTAATATGGCAAAGTAGACGGAATGATGAATCGCCAAATAGAGTAAGTAGGCAGTAGCAGGCCTATTCATCTCCGCGAGTTTACATCGAAAACAAAACAAGCACGATGGCCCCCTACAGGATTACTATTCGACAAGTCCTCACATACGAGCGAGCATTGACTCACGCACGCGTATTCTTGTGTATGATGGAAAAAAATAAAGAAAATGGTGTACTAAACCTTCTGTACGTAGTGCTTATTATTATTCTGTGGCAGTAGACGAAGTGACAAGCTTAAACTATCACCAGACCTACTTTTAAGCAGACGCCAGTTAGGCACGGTTAGATTACAATGTAAACCTCTACATGACCTACTAAACGTCTATAACAGTGATTCTGGTGATTCTTTGCACAGCGTTTTGTTTTTTTTACCTTTGCTTTCGTTTGACCTACATTTTTTGCTGAATTCTGTTTGCTAAGTTGCAAAGACGAATTTTTTATTTTGCTTTCACAGCGAATTATGTTTGCTTTTTTATGTTATACTTAATTGATTTTTATTTTTTGACGTAAGTATAATTATTTATAGTTTTTTTTGCTACGAGCCGAACTTTTTATTTATTTATGCGTAAACGAACAATCTACAATTTAACGCTTATTTCTTTACATTTTTTACTATTAATTAATCAAACCAATATTTTAGTTTACGACCATCAATGTTTTAGTTTACGGCCAGCCAGAAAATCATAAATATACATAGAGTGAATCTAGATCGAAACACATATATTATTGAAATACCTATGTTGGGATAAAATTATAATATTTCATTATACAATATTTCATTGTTGCCCTGCCCTGACTCCCGAGCTAAAATGTGTAATTTGATGAAATTATACTTAAAGTATTTACCTACTGTTTAACACCAGGCGAAACATGAATCTAAAAAATCTTTATCCTGTCTGTTCTTGCCCCTTAAGGGCTACCTTTTTTTAAATTATTTTTGACGTTCATTAGTAAAATATTTATAATTTACTAATGAACGTCAAAAAAATTAATAAAGGACAATGTTCGTTCTCCATACATTGTTCGCCTAAGAACCAACAATTTTGACATATTACTACCCGAAAGCGAAATAATACGATTCTGTGTGTAAGAACAATGATTCCTGATGGACACTTGCCATAAAATTAATGATTAAGAATATTAAATCACAGCGATTTTATAATATGTCGTTTATGACAACATGGCGTCTAATGTATTGTGTGAATGTATGAAAACCGATTCGCGAAAAATGTTTTGTATTGTCGTCACGCCGANTTAGAACGAAAGGGTGCTTAATGTATTTAAAAAAATAGAAAATAATTATGATGGGTTAATGTTTTTTGGCGGTTTTTTAGGCGGTTTCTGACAATGTCCTTTGTAAAAGTAAAAGTGCTTTTTTTAAGCCTATTTACAGAAATAAATGAGTTTTATGAGTTTTTTTTTTAGTTTTATAATTTTAATTTTTGTAATAAAACCACATGAAAACCTATGGAGTGTTAAGTAATTTATTAACATCAAAAGTGTCACAGCTTATTGTAGACTTGACCAAATCGTTGTTTTAGTTTACGGCCATCCAAATTTTAGTGGGCGGCCAGCTGGTAAACTTTAAATTTATAATACTAGCTTTTCCCCGCGGCTCCACCTGCGTGAAATTTAGTTTGTCACAGATCGTTTTGCAGGTAAAGTGGTTTTGACCGATTAGTTTTGACTGTAACATTACATAATAACATTGTAGTGTTCTGTACTCCGTGTAATATTAAAAAAACATTATCTAATAGTCACATATATTAATTACATAGTATTAAGGTTCAGTTTATAGTTAGCTAAATCATTATTTTAGTTTACGGCCATCTTTGTTTTAGATTGCGGCCAGCCGGTTAACTTAAAATAATATTTGCTTTATCAGCCCGTTAATTTAGATCCAAATGAGTATCTATGATACCTATCTCAGTATTTTTAAGTATGTTGGTATGCAATGGAGAAGTTTCGTGATGTTGAAAACATTATATTTCACGGAATGGGATTAAAATATAGACCAAAACTAAAAATACGGTGATGTTTTTTTAAATCCATCAAGAAATGTCTGAGAAATTAATTATTTAAATTACCTACATACTTTCGCGTAGAACTCAAACAGGCGGTGCCGTGATTCACGCCACCCGTTCTAGTTTAAACCACAATGAGGCTGTTAGGAGAAAGTGTATAGTCAATTTTAATATAATATAATTGCATGGTTTTAAACCTTGTCTTACATATTTTTATGATAAAAACCGTTTGGCTGGAAATTTAAAAAAAACCCGTATTTTTAACTGTAACCTTGAATTTTTTTTAGCACATGTCGGATCGATGCGATGGGGACTTTTCACGTTTCATTTATAATGGTGCTCCGAACATTCGTACCAATTTTCAGCTGTATGCGAATTATTGCAGGGTTCATGTCTAATTTGACCGGAATAATCAGTTCTATTGAATCTGCAATGCAGTGAAACCAACACGTCGCACCCTTAATAATATAAGGGCACATTTTCGTCAGTTCTACAAGATGGCTTTCACAGAAAACGAAAACAATGATTAGATAAAGGGGTTCTACATTTTGTGCCCCACTTTGTACTTTTGTCTATTTTCCCGCTAGAAGGGCTGAATCAGTGACATGCCGATATTTGTCGAAACCGGCCCGCGCGACTGTGGTCCAATTTGGAGTTGTGCCTTTGTGTGACAAACTTTTAAGTAAGTGTTGGTGAGCTAAGACTAATTAATTCCATATATTTTTAATAATATGTTACATTTTTATTTTTATTATATTGATAAAGTCTCGTAAATCATAGAAAATTGTAAAAAAAAACTTTAACTTTAGTTAGGCGTACCTTGAATGAGTGTTTGTAGTTAAATTTCTAACTCTCCTATAATTTACCTCTTGATATTAACTTTTATACCTATTGGTTGATAGGGGCCTATAGAATGTTTTATCGCGATGCTAAGAAATAAAGCGGTTATGAAATACTTCCCGCAAATAAACCAATGATTAATAAAATAAGCGACATGCCTTCGTGTATAGGCTATTAACGCTCGCTCGGGGCTCTGGATCCTAGTAGACACAATTTTGGGGTAAAATCCTTTCCTTTAATGAAATTAAGTTTAGAACTAGGCTTTTAAATGGTGCCAATATTGGTGGGAGGTGGGAATGCATACGATTGAAAGTGCTTGTCGCGGGAGGTTCTATCACGGTCACATAAATTGATGCTGATTAGACATAATCAGATTCTGAGAACTGAGGATGCATCGAATTTATTTTAAAATTATCTTTTCACGTATTTAGTTACTCATATTTAATGATCAGCTTTTAGGGCTTAAAATTTTCAGTTTGTGTCTAAATTTTAGTTCTAAAGTGCTTTTTGTCTTAAAAAGTATGAGTTCGTAATGAAACCTTGTGTTAAAAAAAAATAAAACCGACTCCAAAAAACCTACACTAAAACGTAGAAAAATAATTACTAATTACCTACTTATTTATTAGGACGAATTATTAATATTTATGTAGGTATACCATGATTGATACTTCTGGAGTCGGTGCCAAGATTATGAAACATGTAAAGTTTGCCTGCATTTAGTTAACTAATTTATTACCTTGATGTTACCACTGAAGCTAGGCAGTACACTGAGACCAAAAAAAAATTGGTTCATAATCGGCGGAGATATTGCGTATAAAAAAGTTCATCCCCAATTTTCCACTCTTGGGGGTGAAATATTTTCGTCAAATTCGCATGAAACCACCCTTTTGATAATACCTATTCAACAAAAAAATAATCGTTCAAATTGGTTTATAACACTGGTCAACACATGTTTTTTTTCCTTTAATTTTTTTTGTTATTGGGTATTTCTATGGTCCTGATTATGAAAAAAATACTGGGAGATCGTCAGCAGAACAGCTTTACTTTTTAAAATATAGAGTTTTATTATTTTGACAAAAAAATACGAAAAATTATACACTGTGTTGATAAAATATCTATTGATTAAAATATCTATTTATTCAGTCATTGATTTCTTAAAATTACGATCATTTACCAGTTGCCTAATGTGAGTCCCATCAAAAATTACCAACACTCAAGTTTTCTGTGCTTAATCCTGAAAACTTTCATGAAAGAAAATTATAACATTCGTTACTTTTGTCAAGCGCCTTCACAGAGTGTTTCAAGATGCCGAGGTTAATATAAAGTGGTGGAAGTACGGTGATACGGTCTTGGCTAACTAAAGGCATGTTTATAAAATAGTTTGTATCAACTTTAGCTGAAAAGCAAAAAGTTGTGTGTGCGGGAAGCCGCACTGGTAAAATTTTTTGTAACCAATGCTTTTGTTTGTTACGCCTGTTCCAGATACACATAAAACGGGAATTTTGTGTAGCCCCCTTGTTGGCCTAAAGTAAGTTACCTATTCCCAGAACACAAATAACCCATTTGTGGTCTTGATTAATTAATTTGAAATATTTATTTTAAAGTGTCGATG